GAATTGAGTGTAAACTTTTCTGCGATTAGTAGTTTCATGACATTTTTTGTTGAAAAGACGGAGAAAATATAGTAATTTATGAATTTGATTGATTTTCGTGAAGCTGTTCAAGTGATAGACTTGATATTGTGTCAAGTATTCGAAAACATTCGCTTGTTTCAGGTGTTTTGGCTTGTTCGCTGGTCTTACACTGACTTTCAACTATATCCTTGAAATGTCGTTCCTGCCAGCCGTTCTGATATTCCAAGATCGGCATTTGCGTCGTTGTGCACCCACACCACGACGTCACCCGTTTGCATTCCTGAACTACTTGCTCAAGGATGTTCTGCCGTACGTTGTCGTAAGCGGACGTTTTGTGTGGTTAACGTGCCTAACGGCTATATTCGGTGTATCGTGCTATATCACCGCAACGGGTTTACATTTCCCTCAGTACAACCCTCTGCAACTGTTCGTCAGCTCGAATGAACATGAATGGTACGATAACAACGCAGAGCGACAGTTCGAGTTCGTGAAGAATAAGATTGGTTTGTATATTGGCGTACGATTGATGTGGGGCCTGTCCGAGGTGCACACAACGAGTGTATTTCGAGTGGACACTCTCACGAACGTGGCCGCCGATCCAGCGTTTCACTTGCAGACGATTGAGGATGTGCAACGGTTAGCGGACAAATTGAGGCAATTCAGGCAGTTGCAGTTTGTGCAGCATGGGGAGAAGTTTTGGCCGGAACGTTTTTTGGAGTGGTCGAAGACGTTACAGTGCCGAAATGCAACTGCGAAGCAGTCTGGAAAGGCTAAGGATAAGGCTAGCAACAGGAACGATAGCACAGGGAATTTAGTGGTGAACGGCCTCGGAATTGAACAGCTGCATGGCGGGACTAGGAACGAGAATATTAGTGGTGTCACTGGTGAGAACGGTGTTGGCCGAGTTGCAGGGAAACTTGTTCATCGCCGAAAAAGGGTTGCGGATGATATGGAAGGCGATCGGACAGGAGTATGTTGCAACTATTTGCATGAGTCGTATCGTGACACTGAGCTGGACTACTGTATGCGACTGTCCACAGTACATTTGTACACGCAATACAACGACACGTTGGTGTTCGACAATAAAACCTTCGATCTGGTCGGTTACACGGCCGCACTGCCCACTAATATCGTATTCTCGTATAAATTTTCAAATCTTTCGAAAATATTCAAGCAGCTGGAAGACGCTTTTGGTGGAGAGCCGGGTTAGTGGCTTGTGTTCGTTTCGGTTTTGGTTCCGTTTCTGAATTTTTATGAAGTTTAGATTCTTGTAAACTGCAAGATGACCGATCTGTTAGAGTAGATCGATGGAAAGATCAGTAATGATAATGTGATGATGATAATGGTAACTATAATGAGAATAAATGTGGTAGCAACAGTTCTGAGTGATAACGATATATAAGTAGTCGTGTAAATGGTGCTGCTGTTGATAGATGGTAATAGTGATGGTA